GAGAGAGAGAGAGAGAGAGAGAGAGAGAGAGAGAGAGAGAGAGAGAGAGAGAGAGAGAGAGAGAGAGTGGGTGAGGAGAGAGGTTGTTTGTACGTACCTGGTCTCACTTGATGCTGCTGCGGACGACGTTCTTCGACGGAGGTGCGCTCTTTGGAGATAAGGCTGCATTCTCCACGTGTCAGATTGTTATCAGACTGTTGATGTGTCAGACGTGGAGGAGCCTGGTGGAGAAGAGGGACATGCTTGTTACTTCCTCTCTTCCGTTCCAATCTGTCTATCCTCCCCAATTGCTTGCCTAGTCTGGTTACTCTTGGATTGGGAAATGTGTGCGTGGCAGCAGAAGATCGGGTGCTTCATTTGTTCCCATCTGATTGATTATTTGGGGACAATTATCATGCGACACTGCTATTTATCGATTTGCTGTATTGCTGGACAGACAAGATTGGGTTCATTACAAAGTGTTCTATTTATCGATTTGCTGTATTGCGGAACAGACAAGATTGCGTTCATTACAAAAGTGTTCTCTCCTTGTAAAAACAAACAACAACAACATCTCTTTTGTTTTTTTAACTCAATAGCTGGGCCGTTTTCCCAGGCGCCCGGGCACCCAAGTTGTGCCCGGAAACATGCCCGGGTGACCGGCCGGGCATGACCCCCGGGCAGGGTCCCGGGCAGCCCCAGTGCGCGCAAAAAAAAAAGGGAAAAAAAAAATTGTTATGTAGAATAATACTAGAATTGCAATACAAACAACTTTTGGCTGAGAGTCACATCAGAATTCCTCATGGAACTGAAGATAAAAAAGAAAATAACCGAATCACACCAAGACACCCCCCTTTAAACCCCTTTCGCCCCTTTAGAAAAATGTATACCCCCCTTGCCCCCCCTTCAAAGCCAACACTCGAAAAAMGAAAAGAGCCCGGATTTGGGCTCCTCTCCGAGAGCGTGGAAACCCCCCACCCGGCCCACCACCAATTTTAAAATTTTTGTTTTCTTTTTCTTTTCCCATGCCCGGGTATCCCGACCATCAGCCCCTCCCGGGCATCATGCCTGGGTGACCGGCTGGTCATGAAATCTTCCTAGCTCAATAGTACTCAACACTCCGAAGAAGATAGCACACACATTCACGTTATGGGCGAACGACAGACACCGCAGGCACAGAGATCTCAGCCTAAAAAAGGAGGCAAAATCTCAGAAAAGGTGAAGGAAACAACACAGTCTTCTCTCAGACTGGGAACTCCAATGGTTATCAATGCATACACACATTCCAGCAGACGTCCGGCCTTCCCCCCCCCCGCACCCTCACCGCCCTACTTATCACATCATGATGCGAGTGATGACCAGTTCCCATGGCAGTGATGACACCCAAAGCTTGAGGTTCACAAAAGACAGAGAAAAACAGGGTTCAGGAGGAGGTGCTTTTGGTGAGCGAGAAGGGAGGCACATTAATGGGGAGGGAAGCAATTCACCTGAGATGATACTCTGCACACTCATTGGATTCGAAGATATCATTTTCAGCATGCAACCTGATGAACATAACATCCCACACAGCAGATAAGTAACAAAAAAAAAAAAAAAAAAACTGGTCAAACTTTCAGCTTTAAAAAGAGATCCATCAACATATAACAGGTTCCAGTAATTCAGGTATTATGTCAGAGGCAGCCTTTGTTTGTTTTAAATTTGCTTGGAAACAGTTTGTTTGAAATCAGTCTTGCAAATTCACACTCAAACATGCATGCAACAGATGAGAATAACTTGGCGCTGTGCACCCAACTCAAACTCGGAGATATGGTAGCTTGCAACTCAACTCAAATCCAAGTTCACTTCAGTTGGCTATGGCGCTGGGCGCCCTCACTTACACGTTCGACTCAGAGTTCACACGCAACTCGACTCCGGATCACCCTGGATACCATGCACGCCAACCACTGCACACACACATACACACTCACTAACTRTCTATGGCTATGGCGCATGGCCACTAACAGCTAACTAGCCTATCACTAACTTCTGCCCACTTCGTCTTCAGGCCATCTGCAGACCTCCCTTGCACAAGACGCCCGAGCAGCGCTTCCGCAGAGCTTCCGCAGAGCTTCCGCAGGAATGAATGAATGGCTGGACGCAGCCTCTTGATTTATACTTCTGTGTTGCATTGGTCTGCCTTGTATCCCTGGCCCATGATGCACACAGTCCCCCCCGTGGCACTTGCAGGACCGGACTGGTACTTTCTAGACTTTCCCATGACTGCATAGTGACAACCCTACGACGCAGTGCAGTTGCACTGGGGTCCTACTATTTGCCCTTGCCACTTGTCCTCGTCTCCAACATGGGCTTGCTTTAGTCACACCACTTGACCACTTGCCAACCTTCTAGAAGGACTGCAGCTGGACTTCTACTCTACAGGTCTATGGATCAAATCCTGGCTACCTAAAGACCTACGACAGACCTACTTACCACTGGCGGTCCTACAGGTCGCAGGTTCAATTCTTCAAGTTGTCACAGATATTGTTCACAGGTAAGTTGGGGAACTAGGGATCGAACCCTGGGTCCTGCATCAGCTACTTCGAACTGGTGAATACCGTTTCATGTTCTATATTTGATTTTTATTTCTGAGAGCATCAGCTGGGAGGTCTTATGAGAGAAATGGACCTTCTTGAAGTATAGGCTGGGCTTAGCTGTCAGCCGAACCTCTCCGCTCGTCAATCAACGCGAATCGGGACAGCAGTTCCTCGGGACTAATGGGGGACGAAAGCGTCTGTGTGAATAACTGAATATACTCTTGTATAATTCTGGCTTTGCCACTGGAAAAAGGAAACATACTGATTTTTAAAAACTTTAAAAATTAATCTTAAAAACTTCAAAAAAGGAAATATTAACTGACACCTGACGCCTGCTGCTCCTCAGGATACGGCAGACCTAGGTTCATAAGGTCCTGTTCTACTGGGGGGTGGGGGGGGAGGTAGCATAATTGATTGCTTAGAGAATGAAAGGAAAATGAGCATTACTTGCATGACGACTTTCCGAATGTACCTGACTGCAATTACGGCAGGTCCTGAATGTATCTGACAGCAAATATGTCCAGAAATCAGTCAAAAAGGTCCTAGTGTGAGTACGCCCTTGTACATGGCACAAGGTTCTGCCGGCTTTTCCGCGCTGGCTCTTTGGAGTTTGAAGAACCCAATGAAGAGAGAGAAACAGTGAAGAAACAATGAAGAATCGTTGAACATAAGGTTTTTACGATACAGTCACTTACTTCATTGCACCCTAATCTAAACACATACCGGTGGTCATGTCAGTGGATATCCCTGGCTGAGTGGGTGTGTAGAGTGGGTTGTATGCCTGCGACATACCGTCCTCCCCCAAACATAACGCATATGTATTGTATTCGAGTTCTTGAAAAAATTAGAACGCATACTCGTTGTATTCGAATATTAGGGCTATTCGAATAGAACACGCATGCCTTGTATTCGAATAGAAAACAACGTATGCGTTGTATTCGTTTACAACCCATATGCTCTATGTTCGGGGGAAGACGGTAGTTTCTCAGACTTACTGCCACCTTGTTAGGGGTTTGGACCGGCCACAAGTGGTTAACGGGGACGGTAGTTTCTCAGGCTTACTGCCACCTTATCAGGGGTTTGGACCGGCCACAAGTGGTTAACGGGGAACCCCACTTTCAGCTCCTGGACCAGCAGGATGTTGGGATTGCAGGGTGGGCATGAGCAAAGTGAACAATTTTCTCACGGGTATTGCTAACTCTGGGCAAAGAGTGAGTCTTTAATACTCTTTATCCATCAGTCAAATGCATCCTGGGCAGACTGTTGGGGTTCAACCTCCTGATGAGTCGGTGAAAGTCAGACGAAACAGTCTGGCACAGGCATGCTTTTCTTCTGGAGTTGTGTATACCAAACATGACAACACACACGCGCATGCGCACACACACGCACACACACACACACACACACACACACACACCCCTCCTGATGAGTTGGTGAAAGTCCGACAAAACACTCTGGCACAGTCATGCTCTTTTTGTGGAGTTGTGCGTTGCAAACATGGCAACACACAACACACACACAAAACGGAAAAATAAAATAAAAAATAAAAGCAAAACGAACATAATCAGACGTTTCCAGGCAGCCCTTCTTATCCACAGTAATAGGGCCTCGCTTCACCACTCTCGATTTCACATTTTCGAGAGTGATGCTCTGATCGACTTAAATCTCGATTCGACACTCTCGATAGTCCATTGATCGACTTAAATCTTGATTCCTCCGAGAGGACTCTCGATTCTTTCCGATTCCTCAGTCTGCGCACTCTCAAAAATTGAGTGCCCTCTCCTCCAGCCTCAATGTTTGACGGTGGGCAGTGCATTGGGACCCAGCTGTTAAATCCCTTTTTTTTTTTTTTTTTCCTTTGTTTACATTCTCGTCATACTGTGTTGATCAGAGAGTGTCTGGGGAGTGTCGATAATCGAGAGTTATATAGAATGAGGCCGAGTACAACACTCGATACAATTTTGATTTTCGAGATGAATCGAGATTCGGGAGTAGTGGAGCGAGGCTGATACTTATAGAGGAACATGCAGTCTCATAGGCAGGACATGTGGCTTGGGGGGTCACGTGCTGAATTGGAGCGATGTGTGCAAGTACTGCCATGTCCATGTGTGTGTGTGTGGTGTGAGTGAGTGAGAACACTCCAGCCTTGTGGAGTTGGGGACCATGGGGTGGATATCACGACCAGTAAGGTTCCGCTTTTTTAAACACCATGTACTGGGTGTGGTTAAAAAAACTGACTCTTGTAGTCAAGGGCGCCGGTTCGATTCCGTGCGTGCACGGATGGGCCCGCAGCCAGAAAGTATAGATCCATAACTACTGAGTTGTACACACACACACACACACACACACACATATAACTGTTAATCAACAGGTCACAAGTTCAAATCTTCTGATGGAATCAGATGTGTGTGTGTACACAGTGTACTACACACACATGTAACTGTTAATCAACAGGTCACGAGGTAAAATCTTCTGATGGAATCAGATGGAAACAACAAGGTCATGGACTCAGGGACTTACTAACCCCATAAAAAAGGAGAACGCAGTTGTAGATTGGTTTCCATCTAGAACTTCGGAATTTATATGAGTGCATCTAGTCTTTCGACAAGGCACATTTCTGAGGTGCTTCAACCTAAAACTCCAAATTTTGTTCTATTGCCTCGAGTGTGATGGTCAGGATTTTTCTGTCATTGTATTTTTTTGAAGGTTTTTATTAAGATCAACTGGCGGGCTGGGCGGTACAGGTGGAAAAAAAAAAAAAAAAAAAAACCTCCTCAGGTATCGTCAACATGTCCATGTACATGCATTCCGCACTATGGTGCCTATCATCTATATGGTCTCCACCAGATGACAGGCGGGTATCCTACTGGTCCCCCGTCGTGTCTGCCTCCTATCGTCAGGTGTATCTTCACCACCCTCAGATTCACCCATGGGCTAGGCAGACGCTGTCTGCACTAATGTCCTCTTTGGGACCTACTGCAGCATGCGTCTGACCGGTTCTAAAAATAAATAAAATAAACGATGTCCGGCGAGTTACCTAGACTACCGGTCAAATGGCATCAACAGCACCTACACGGACTGTACACTTGTAGTTTACTTCTATCCTGATTAGTTCTGTACAGAAGCTTTGAGAAGAACTGACTATGGTAGATTACAGTCCTACGCTAGGCTCTGTTAGGTGTTAGCAGTCTGTCAACCAACTAATCAAGATAAAAATAACTACAGTGAGCAGATGTATGCACAACGGATATGATAGTGATGTTCAGTAGAGTTCACAATTGGAATCCCCTTCCCCTGTATCCAACGTACCTGTGAGCATCATCAAGCTGCGGTGTCTAAGGTGTGCAATCACGGCCCACCCCTGTGCCCAAGGTGTACGCTTATGACCAGCCTGCCCTTTGTCTACCCTCGCGTGCAACGAGCCTTACGTCCGACTGATCTGGCTGATCAAGAGGCAATTTAAGGACAGCCCCCGAGAGTCCTCAGGAATGTTTAACGTCGCAATCAGGACGACGATCACAGCCAGTGGACAGATCGGACCCCAACCATAAATATTTATAGACGGTCTGGGCGTGTGATACATGCCCAGTTTGGGCGATGTACATATATAGCCAAGGATCCGCAATGTGATGAAAAGGACTGAATGGACAATGCAGTGCTAGTAGAATCTCAACAAGCAGTGTACATCCTGATACATACAAAAAATGGTGCTTTGTAGCGCAGTGGAAGACTTAGATAAAAGTCCTGACCTGACCGGGACTGACCTCCCTCACGTAGTACAAGACAGCGTAGTGAAATGCTAGAATACCAATGACTAGCCCAACCAATGTCGCAATGCAGACCCAACATACATCATCCTCATCACCAGGTGTGAAGGGGCCTGGCGCTACACACAGGTCCAGACCATACACAGACAAAGAGGAGGGGATCAGACGAAGAAGAGGGGGAAGATGGCGAGAGGGTGAGAGGGA